TGGTCAACGTTCTGGAGGGAAGGGATGCCATCCGGAGGGACTTTGACAGGCTTGAGAGGTGGGCCTGTGCTAACCTCATGAAGTTCAACAAGGTCAAATACAAGGTTCTGCACCTGGGTTGGGGCAATCCCAAACATAAATACAGGCTGGGTGATGAGTGGATTGAGACCAGCTCCGAAGAGAAGGACTTGGTGGTAGTGGTGGATGAGAAGTTCGACATGAGCCGGCAATGCACACTTGCAGCACAGAAGGCAAACTGTGTCCTAGGCTGCATCAAAAGAATCACAGCAAGTAGGTGGAGGGAGGTGATTGTCCCCCTCTGCTCTGGTCTTGTGAGGCCCCACCTGGAGTACTGCATCCAATTCTGGACCCCCCCAACACAAGAAAGACATGGAACTGTTAGAACAAGTCCGGAGGAGGCCACGAGGATGATCTAAAGGCTGGAGCACCTCTCCTATGAGGACAGGCTGAGAGAGTTGGGGCTGTTCAGCCTGGAAAATGGAAGGCTTTGGGGAGACCTTATAGCTGCCTTCCAATACTTGAAGGGGCCCACAGGAAAGCTAGGGAGGGACTTTTTACAAAGGCAGGTAGTGATAGAACAATGGTAATGGCTTTAAACTGGAAGAGGGCAGGTTTACATTAGATATTAGGAAGAAACTCTTTACTGTGAGGGTGGTCAGACACTGGAACAGGCTGCCCAAGAAAATTGTGGATGCCCGCTCCCTAGAAGTGTTCAAGGCCAGGCTGGATGAGGCTTTGAGCAACCTGGTCTAGTGGAAAGTGTCTCTGCTCGTGGCAGGGGGGTTGGAACTAGAAGATCTTTAAGGTCCCTTCCAACCCATACCAATCTATAATTCTATGATTCTACATAAATAATGGCTGTGTTTTCTGTAGGACTATTCATATGAGTAAGGACTTCCAGTTCATGACCTATGCATTTGGTTCTTTGTCTTTCAATCCTGGTTAATTTAATTCCATTTCAGTATTGCATCTCTGAAGGTTATGATTTACAGTAACGTAAAATCTGCTTCAATAGAGGTATCAGTTAAGCAGTGAAAGAATTGGATTCTCTTGGTCCATGAAATATCAACAAAGTATATATGCATATTAAATAGAGCAGCATCTAAACCTTGCTGACATTTCTTCTTTGGTAGGTATTTCAAACTGACTAATTTTTAAGTGAACTAAAGCATTTTTTAAGAAAACTTGATGCATTAGTTCACTTGCCTCCATTTTAAATTGACAAAAACTTAAATATTGTCAGCACCTGGAAATTAAAAGGATCGATATAAACAGTTACATTTTTACCATATTAGATATTATGTAAAAGAGTTTAAAGCTTGAAACTACTTTTTTTGCCCAGATCTTGCTTACAGTCAACAGAGAGGGGTATATAAGCCACCTCAACACTACCATCATTTGGTTTTAAAAATAGAGTCATTTTTTATGCCCTAGGCTGAAGCTGACGTGTTAAATCAGTTCACAGGAAACTAAAAAGGAAATGAGAAGAGAGATTCAAGAGAATTTATTTTATAATTGACTAAAATATTAGTGATTGTAAGGAAGGTAAGACTACACAATGATAGATACAACTTATGCAGGCTTTGCTAAAGATACTTCAAGAGAGCGAATGTGAGATTTTTAGTGACAGTACAGGCAAGAAAGACACGAGAACACTGAACTGTGTATAAAACAGTTCCTCAATCTTGATGAATCACCTGAACAGGTGTGGATGTACTTTCAATACAATATAATGAAAACCTTCCATCAGAATGGAGTAGAAATCATTCCCATCCTTTTTATCAGGGCTTTTCCTCAGCTCTCCAGTGCGGGAACTCAAATCATGGACTCTGCTACACGATCAATATGATCAAGCAAGAAGCCATTTATTTGTTCTAATACAGTTATATTTATACCCCAAAACTAATGAAATCACCCACACCCGTTAACATGTTATTGGCCCTTCACTCGCAGCACGAGCAGTTCACATGCCCCTAATTGGCTGACGGACTTTGCCTGCATCCCTTCCTGTTTGCTTGCCAGGGTACATCTTTTGGATACACTTCAAGGTTCCTCTCTGGGGCCTTGTTGATGCAGGTGCTTCTCATATCTCCAGACATGTATCCTTTCAGTTCCCACAGGTCTCTCAGGGTATGCCAATACACATTCTCACACTCCCCACAACTCCCCTCTTTTCTTTTTAGAAACAGAAAAACTTAAAACTTAACTTATAAGTATAACTTATCAGTACTTAACAAAAACACAAACCATAAACTTAAAGCTTAACTTATAACTTATCAGAATTTAACAAAAATAAATCTTAACTTATAAGTATAACTTATAGCTTAACTTATATTCTTAAACTGATAAAAGTTATTATTACACACACACTTGGTTATAATGGTTATAATACTTGATCAACTTCAGAATGTCCGTTTGCTCTTAGAAACCCTACACTCCAGAATGCTCAGTACACCTTGGAATGTTTTACCAGGAAACATTATTCTCTGTTGTAATAGTTTGCATCTCCCTGGACTTTTACCTTAGCATAGTTGTGTATTGGGAAAGCAGACTTCCATTAGGTTACTTATTACCCATGCCTGTTTTACGAACGGTTAACTGGAGGCAAATTAAAGAAACTGACTGAACTCACATAGATAAATGGTACAGTTGGAAATAAGATTGAACATGATTCCTATAACTTGCTGTAATGAAAGGTTATAATCCTTCCATAATCAGAATTAACACTTAATAAAATTCAAGATGTAATTCCATTTGTTTATTAAAAAACACATAAAATTGAATTTAATATCAACTTACATCAACATCAAAAAGTACACTAAACAGGATGAAACTGGGAATATGACACCATGGCCATTAATTCTGATAAACACATTCAATTAGGTTTTCAATGGATAACATGCATATTAACAATAGAACAGTCAGTTTTTATAGGCTTTCTTATCACTGACAATCCATTCTAGATTTTTCTTGAAATCAAGAGGTATCATGTTGATCTAGTTTTCTTATGCTTAGTCTAATTTCTAAAAAAAAATAATCTGAAATATTCTAGAAAACTAAGGACTTTATCTTGATTTATCTGCAAGATTAAGCTCAAGGACAAGGATAAGATATCAGCAGATTCTGAATCCTTTTAACTGGCTACCAATATGTGAGTGTAAAGGGACCTGAACAGTTCAGGACAGAGATTTCAGAAATTTGATGCAGATATTTAGTACTGGAATACAATTTATAATCAAGTTTGCTTCCTCCATTAAAAATAACTTAGCTCCCCCATTTTTTTTTCCTTCTTTGCATATCAATAATATTATCCTATCACAGATACCAGGGGTCTTTTCCATCTACCACTTTATAATCTCTCACTCTCAGTAAATAAAAAGGCAAGAATATTTTCTAATGCTGAGAATTTATAGCCTAATAAGACAAACCAAAAAGAAAATGAAAGGAAAAATAAAATAGCCCAACAGGGAAGGGAGGCACATAAGCCAATATTCCTCACTATGAGGTAGTTCCTGAAATAGGAACAGAAGAGAAGCTTTCTCATTTAAGATCCAGTATTCAGTACACAAGCCTGTGAAGCTTTTTAAAAATATTTACAGAAGACATCTAATGAATGGTTTAAAAAAGTCAGTTGCCTCAGGGGCTGGCAAACCAAAAGAAAATCTTTCAGTAGGCTCTGATCAGTAGACATAGACAAGTGTCTCTCAAAGACAGTTAGCCTGCATACATACTGTAATATTTAAAAAAATACTGGAAAAAAAAATACTGGAAAAAAAAGCCCCAAATGTAAACAGAGATATTTACAAACTGTGGAAATTAATGCATTCTTTCTTAACAGCATAAAAAAAATCAATGTTGCTTGTGTTACAACAAGGTCATTTAGGACACCGGATTTCAGACAACTTTCTAGAATTTTTGACAGATAAGATATAAATTGTAAAAAAATTACTTCAAAGACATCAAATAATCAGAATATTCAACCTTAGCTTGAATTCATTATCAGTTCTTTAATTTGGGTTCTGCATATTTTGGTTTTTTTTTTCCTTCTCTTCACTAGATTTTGAATTCTAAGCCATGTTAAGGAATTAACTTTGCATTCTATTTATTTACATCTGAGATTCAAATTGCACGTGAGAAAAAAATTGACTTGTGGCATGTTAAGATAAAGCTGTCAGTCAAATGAAGCTAACATTTAAAATGAATTTAATATTGTTGAAAAATTCCAAAGGAGATTAAGAATTGATGGAAATCCCTTCTATGTCCTTTTTTAAAACGCTGTGACCTTTTAATTTACATGAAATAACACATTTTGATGCAAATTATTCAGGTCTAAAATAGAAACGTGCACTGGTGTGAGGAGTTTGAGATACTTTATAGCCCAGGACTGATGAATATCTTTGTTAAAATCAAAAGAATATACAGTGTACAGATATTTAAATTTTTACAAATGTTATGATAAGTGTTCCCAAGAAACATGACTATACTATGTTCATGTAATTGATATAATAAAAAAACACACATGAATTTTAAAATCAGTTCCATTTTCAAAACATACTACTTTTTAAAAATTACATAAAATACACTTGAAACTTATTCAATTGCCATATACTGCAGGTGTCTAAAGCCATACCACCTTCTGAATCTGAATCGCTATTTCAAATAGTGAGTTAGGGTTAGAATCTATTTTTACAGAGAGGGAAAGTGTTATCTTTGTTATGAGTATTGCTGATCTATATTGGATATTAATTTATGGGACAACTGCATACATTTTTACCTGATCCATTCATGTGCAAAAGTTGTGAAATTTTTGCTTCTACTGTTTTTGACATATGGACTCATTGCTTCCCCTCAAATATGAAGAACTCACGTCAATATGGTATTTTAGTTACTTTTTATATTTATCCCACTTGCTGGTAACCTAAGTGCAATTGAATTTATGCGAGTTCATTAACTTGTTAATGCTGAATCTAGCTTTAGAAGTTAGAACAGAAATAGACAGCAAATGCTCTTAAAATTTAGTAAAGAAATTAAGGTTGCACAGCTTAACAGACTGTGATAGAAAATTGTGACACATTAAAACAATGTGCTCTGATACACAAAACTGTATTAAACTTACCTATACCAACTGATTTCAGGTGGAGGTGATCCAGTGGCTCTGCAGAAGAAAGTTATTGCCTCTCCACGATCTGCAGTGGCATTAAAGGATTTCTGTAGCAGAGTAATTGCAGGGGGAACTAAAATATAAAATGTGATGTCCTATTAGTAGAAAAGTAAACTATTTGATGTGTTTCCAGAGAAATTTAAAGCACAGAATAGGATTCTTTGATAATTTTGGAATTTCTGGTTCTGCTTAGGGATCGAGTTACAATATGAATCATTGTTATTAGTGTTTCTTTACTTCTCTTAAATACAAGATTTTTAATGCTATCAAGACATTTATAACCTTTTTTTTCACTAGAATTAATTTTTTTAAGTGTTTTTCAGCAGTTCTTCCATTTTCTTACAGAACATTTTAACGTGACTGAAGTTGTACCTAGCATGTATAAAACACAATAGAGTTATACTTGGCACTAATTTAACTATCTCAAATAAAAATGTACCTCTAGTCTTTTTTCTCTTTCATTCAATTATAAAGCTGACATACAACTAGGTACTGAGGTCAGAGAGTGCTTTTAACACAGATGTCATTATGTATTAGTCTTTATTATGCATATTTAATTCTTTTTACTGAACTCCTGCATATTTCCTGGGCAGGAGTATCACCAGCTTCAAAGGTGAAATGTCAGAGAATGAAATTGATACAATCTATTTTTGGAAATTGTATTCAATTTCAACACAATTACAAAAATTGTAATTGTGTTCTGAGAGTGACAAATTTGGTCTGTTCCTGATGGGATTAAGTCATTACTAAAATTGTAACAGACAATCTCTTCCCAACAGAAAAAAATATCAATAATATTTAAGACAGAACAATTTACATGCTGATATTTATTATTTCTGATAATATGGTAATTTTAAGGCAGCTATCCCAAATATGTTTCCATTAACTGTCAAGCAAATAAACAAATAAAAACAATCCCAGCAGACTGGAAGGAAGAGAATATGTGGAAAAAATAATGTCAGGGAAAGTGAGAGGAAAGGGAAAAAAACATTAAGAGCTTCATAAAATATATATCTCTGTTAGCAAGAACATACTGTCATCAGAGTGACTCAGTTATCCTTTTCAGGTTTAACTTTCACTAGAGAAAAGGAGAAACAGTCAACTGCAATGAATTTGGTTTTGGCTTTCCATTGCACTTCCATGTTTTTCTCACAAACTGTTGAGAATCAGCTTCAGTTCCTTTGCACCAAATATTCTAGCTTTAATATTCTATTTCAGAAGCCTTTCAAGCTTCTGAACCTTAAATATATCAAATTATTTAAAATAATGTACCATTATTATCAATGATCAGTTTGTAAATGTTGTTACATACTTTCCACGCTTTTTAATGGTGTGCTGAAATTTAAGCATTTCACAGATCACTTCTTTCCTATCTGAAATTGCATGGGCCATTACTCAGCATACAAAAAAACCTTCTGTTGTGCATTATCTTCCATGAAGAAAATGTCAGTTAGAAAACCTTAGATACATTTTAGACATTTTGCAGTGTGTTCTAGTGTCTACAGCTGAAAATATGTACCCAGTAATATTAGGGGATTAAACAATTCTTTGCCATCAGTAGCAAGCTCTTCACTGCTCACAACTAAGAACTACAGGACTGTAACTCGGTCCAGCACATTACTTAAGTGTTTCAGTCTTCCAAGGGATACTGCAATGACAATGAAATGAAATATTAGTTTCCTTTTCAAAAGTCAAATTTTATTTTTCATTTTTCTCCTCATTCGTTCTGGGAAGAGATCTGTTTATCTTTGGTTCTGTTCTTGTATGTACGTAGGATGAAACTAAAGTGTGCACCTAAAAGAGGAAAAAACAAATGAAGCTAATCTGGCAAGTCTCTCACATTTCAAACTTCAAGAAAAATGGTAAAATTCTGTCACATTTAAGTGAAAATAATTCTTTTTTATCTATGTCAGTAAGGTCAGGAAGTCTATCCAATTTAAGGAACTTCCCAGACAGCAAAAAAACCTTAAAGAAATAAACCTATTAAGCCCATTTACCAAGAGACAGAGAGAGAGAAAAAAAAGAGGAAAAAAAAAATTTGTTTTCCAGAGGACTTTAAAATTCTTTAGTTCTTTTTCATACTAACCAGTTTGGGTTTTGTTTTTTTTTATAAAAACCTGCCATTTAGACCTCGCTGTAAATATGAGTAGATAAGAAATGTTTCAAAAAGTTCAGTATTGAGAGCACAAAAAATACCTAAAGATTAGATTTTGAAGAGAGAACTCAGCTCAAATGTATTTTAATTTATTATCCATTATAAACCCCCAAAGATTTCCATACATTAGCAACTACATTTTACATATCAAACTTTGTTCTAAGATTTACTTTTAACTATTTTTGAGTAAATTTGTATTCTGTTCATATGTAATATTTAAAACATTATACAAAAAAGCAACCAATATAATGAATAGGCAGCTAAAACTAAAGAGGTTTTCTAACATTTACTTATTTACTTTAGGGTGTTTTCACACTTTTTTATGTTAAGTCTGTCTCACAATGACTTCTTTCTTATCTGAAATTGCCTAAGCAACAGACTGAATATGGAAATACCATGTCACCAGAGCAATGAACCTCTAAATATGTGGGACAATAATGTAGGCTAACAGATTTTAACAATTCCTCTGCAAATTTACATTTTTTTTCTTTCACATAGGTTAGCACAGTCTTGCATCACTACCCAGAATACTGAATATAACTTTCAATTTTTTTTATTTTACAGCTTTTAGTTTTTAAAACTATGTGCATGTGACCTGAGTCATAACTGTTGCTATGATCAGCTAGTTTGGACACTAGTATAGTAAAGAACATACTCTACTATGGTCTGATATAAATACTATCCATTTCACAGCATCACAGAATTTCCTAGATTGAAAAAGACCTTTAAGATTGTCCAGTCATTAACCTAACACTGACAGGTCTCCAGCTAAACCATTTCCCTAAGCACTATGTCTAGACACCTCTCAAATATTTTCAGGGCTGGGGACTCCACCACTGCCCTGGGCAACCATTCCAATGCCTGATAACCCTTTCAGTAAAGAAATTCTTCCTCAAATCCAATCTCAACTGCCCTTGGTGCAACTTGAGGCCATTTCCTCTTGTCCTACCAGCTACAGTGCCTATTTCACCTCTTCCGTCTTTATTTACATCTCTCCCAGATGTAAATTAGCCAATGCTATGTCAATGAGCTTAGCATCCAGATGGAGTCAAGAATGGAAGGAATGTTTTTAAAATACACATTGATTTTGTTAATTCCTTCTCTTCAAAATGAGATACATCTCTACAACATTATCTTTATGTGTAGTTATAAGTGCCCACAATTTATCCCCAAGATTAGACTATTTTAAATTTATATCATGGTTGCAAAACAAGAGATTTCCTTTTTCATATAATAAATTTATAAAAAAAAATTCTGCTTACTACTCCACTAAAAATAAAAAATGCCTAAAGTCACATAGTTGTACGTTCTTAAGAAGTTATTGTTAATAAGGAAAATAATAACATTCCATCCAGGTATATAAAAAAGTTCAATTCATTTCCACTTAGTCACATCACCTGCACATGCTGCTTCATCAACTGTGAAAATTTCTGCTACTTAGGTAGGTAAATATAGGTACAGCCACCTAACTTCAAGAAAAGAAAGAACTAATTTTTGCAATATGTTCTTAAATCATTCAGGGAGTGGCTTTTCAACATTTTTTTTTGGTGGTTGCAAGGTCTAATCCTTCATTTTACAGTAATAATTTTAGTGGTGATTAATTTTTCTTGCTTCCACATAGCACAAGAAAGCATTCTATAGGCAAGTATCATCCACATGGGCAGAGATGACCTAGTTATGACCAAAATGGCCCAAGAGGGAGCTTACCTAGATTTAATTTTTTTCTCTTCAAGGATTTGCTCGCATACCATCTACCTCTGAGAGACTGGTCTTCATGAGCTTGCTGTAAGGCTGAGGTGCTCTCAGTTTCTCACAGTGTTTTTCCATTCTCTCTGTCCTCCCTTTTTAGGGTGAGGCAGAGAAACAGTAAAGTACTTGTTCACAGAAGAGGTGATATTAGTTCAAATCTTTGCTCTAAATCACAGGACACAGGGGTCACCTGCACCATGGATAATTCTCTAACTAGAGGGCAATGACTAAAACGATAGCTAATAGTTTAAATTAAATCTTCATCACTAGTCTTGTAAAAGGGTATCTGAGATTTCACACAGTTCTAACGTAGTTTCCTTTTTTGAATAAAGTATGTATTAGCATTGGAACAAATAATATTTGCAGAAATAGAAATATCAACTCTTGTATATAATAAAGACACTTATAAAGGAACATACTCATATACTGTTTGCAGTAGAGAAACATCATACATGGAGAATTCTGCTACTCTCAAAATAAATCAGCAAAGCTACAACAATATCAGACCCTATATTCCTCCTGAAAATATATTTCCACTGTAAACTCTAAATACATATGTGAGGGCCAGGATTAATATTATTGAATTAATTATTAATCTCATAATTCTCTATATTCGCCTCTCCTAGACTCTCACAAAAACTTAAAATTTTTAAAATGGAAAATTATGAGTTATGTAGCATCCCAGCTCTCCCAAAGTATTCCTATTTAGAATCATAGAAACATAGAATATCAGGTTGGAAGGGACCTCAAGGATAATCTGGTCCAACCTTTCTTAGTAAAAGCATGGTCTAGACAAGATGGTCCAGCACCCTGCCCAGCCAAATCTTAAATGTGTCCAAGGTTGGGGAATCCACCACTTCCCTGGGGAGATTATTCCAATGGATGATTGTTCTCATTGTAAAAAAATCTCATCTTCTGTCCAATCAGAATTTCACCAGAGGTAATTTGTACCCATCACCCACCATCTTTTTCATGTGATTCCTTGTAAAAAAGGAGTCTTCATATTCTTTGTAGCCACCCTTTAAGTACTGGTGTTGAGGTCTCTCCTTAGCCTTTGTTTCTCAAGGCTGAACAAGCCCAATTCTCTCAGCCTTTCCTTATAGGGCAGGCTTCCCATCCTTTGATCACCCTTTGATCACAAGACGATCATCCTCTGATCACCTTTTCTGGACCCTCTCCAGCCTGTCCACATTCTTTTTGTATAGCAGGGACCAAAACTGGGCACAGCATTCCAGATATAGCCTGCCAAGTGCTGAGTAACATGGGATAATAACTTCCTTATGTCTGCTGGTGAAGCCCTTGATGCAACCCATCATCCTGTTGGTTTTCTTTGCCACAGCGCACTGTTCACTCATACTGAGCTGCCTGTCCACCAAGACCTCTAGATCACTTTCCACAGCATTGTTCCCCAGCTGGGTAGATCCCAGCCTGTGCTGCACTCCTGGATTTTTTCCCAGGTGCAAGACCTTATATTTGTCTTTGTTGAATTTCATAAGGTTCCTGTCAGCCCACTCTTCCAGCCTATCCAGGTCGTCCTGCAGGGTGGCTCTCCCTTCCAAAGTGTCCACTTTCCCACTCAGTTTGGTATCATCAGCAAACATCACCAGAGTACACTTGATCCCATAATCCAGATCACTTATGAATATATTAAATGGTGTTGGGCCAAATATAGATCCCTGGGGCACCCCACTTGTGTCAGGTAGCCAGTTTCAAAAGGAGTTATTTATCACCATGTTGCCAAGAAGGACCAGTCAGGGACAAAGTATTTAAAACTCAGACCCTGATAGGAATGATGGCAATAGTTTCATTGAAAAACTGGCATTAAACAGAATGTGTAGAAAGAAAATGCCCTTTATGAACTGTGCCCTTTCCAGACAATATATGAAAGATATATTTGCTTTTCAACAGGTCAGCCCTGAATTTGACAGGTTGAGTTAAATACTCCATCTTGTCTTAATCCATTCATATTCCTTCTTAGAGATTTATTATAAAATTATAAAATGCATAATGCCACTTTTCAGATAACTCATTATATATTTTACTCCTCATAAAAATTAAAATGTTAAAAATCTGTAAGTAATATAGCTAATGTTAATAAAATGTATCTGACTTTTGGGAAAGTTAATAAAGTATGTACAATGCAGTCAAGATGAATAACTGAAAAATCAAGTGTGTTTTTTTAACAGTAAATGACAAGACACTGAAGAATACAGGGTGAACTGAGCTATATATTATTATCTGAAACTCAAGTCTTGCAGTGATTGTCAATTTTCCATGAAATATTAAAAACAATAAACCAGCTTTTACATATTTATATACACTAATATTATGAAATGCAATGAGTTCTACTTAAACATTATAGTAGATTTTTTTAAAGTATTAAGCAATTATATTTATAGAAAAACAACTATATTAACCAGCTTAATAAGGATTTTTTAGAAGCTGATATATTTTAAAATAGGCATTGATAACCAAGTAAAGCAAAAAGTCAGCTCAACAATTTTTACTCCTTACCATTCACAGTAACAATTATGTCCCGAAAGTCAATTTCTCCTCTGGCTTCCACTCTTCCTTCACATCTGTATACTCCTTCATCACTTTTATTGATGTTAAGAATTTGGAGATTATTGTTTGCTAATACTGCAAATCGATCTAGAAAGGCAAGTAAGAGATTGTGTGGTGTTAGTAAATCAAGACAACATAGAAACACTAACTTAAATGAGCAATATATATGTACTTTCTCTGTACATTCAGGATGGTCATTGACAAAATATTTTTCAATTTAAAAGTAAAATGTCAGCTGACAAATCTGTTTTTTTCCCACTTCAAAATAAATTGCCATTTCCTAAAATTCAATTTTCCATAACTTCCTACTTACTTCGAGAGGTCATCAAATGCAAGTTAAATATATAAATTATTGCAAAATGAATGGAATACTCATTAACACCTACCTACAATATCAAAAAGATTAAAGAGATAGTGAAAAAGATAAACCAAGTGATTTATAACAAAACAAGTAAGAAAATGCTTCTTCCCTCTCTATCTAGATTAACCAAATGTCTCTGTGCCCATTCTGGCACTATGCTTAATCATTTCTCAACTTGCTTGCTTTCTTTCCCTCCTCCTATTCCTTTGCTCACTCAGTACTACTCAGTCAATGATGTATCTGAACCATAGTCTAACACTTCATAGGAATGGGTATAAAGACATAATCTAACAAACCACTCTACCTTCTGCATAGTCCAGCATAAACTGAATTTCAGTAAATTTTTTTAGTAACTTCAGTTCATTGAAAAAATCAGATTCTGAACAAGTGTACATACACTTTCCTTCATATGCAGCAGAAAAAATTATAATCTGCAAGAGTAAACTGAATCTGAACTTAATTTTTCTCTCCTTTTTGTCTGAACTAGTGTATTGGGTTTATGTGGCAAGATGTTGGCAGCAAGAAGGCTGCATGGCGCCATCTGTGAGGAGAAGCTGAGACTGCCCCGTGCCAGACACAGCTGGTTCCATCCAGCTCCAATCGACACCCTGCAGGGCACAGCTGAACCCCACAGCCAAGATGGTGGCACCTCTGGTAAAGTGTGTAAAAGAAAGGGCAAAAAAGACTGTGCAGCAACCGTGAGAGAGGGGAGTAAGAAAAATATGAGAGCAACAGCCCTTCAAGCACCAAGATGAACAAGGCAGAAGGGGAGGAGGTGCTGCAGGCACCAGAGCAGAGATCCCCCTGCAGCCCCAGGAGAGAGCATGGTGGAGTAGGTATCCACATTGCAGCCCATGGAAGGACCATACTGGAACAAGCTTATCCTGAACAACTGCAGCCCATGGGAAGGACCTACACTGGAGCTGTTATGGAACAACCACAACCCCTGTTCCGCATCCCCCTGCACTGCTTAGCAAAGGGGTGGGGGAGGTAGAGGAGTTGACAATGAAAGCGTGAAGTTGAGCCTGGAAAAAAGGAGGGGGGAGATGTTGCTTTAATTTTGTCATTGTTTTTTTACCATCCATGTCTATTTAACAGGCAATAAATTTCATTAATTTTCCCCAATGAAAATCTGTTTTGCCTGTGCTGGTAATCAGTGAATGATCTTCCCGTCTTTATCTTGACCCACAAGCTTTTTCATCTCACTTTCTCCCTCTGTCCTGTTAAGGAGGGGAACCGAGAGAGTGGCTGGATGGGGACCTGGAAGCTGGTCAAGGTCAACCCACCATAACTAGTCATTATTAATGGACTCTTCTGGGTAGAGTTACTTCCTACAGTTCACTGTATGTGGTTTTCGAAAAACCTGTACACTTGTTATTCAGCTGTCTTTTTCATTCCATTTGAACTGGCATCATCCTTTCAGTATTGAAGGATGATGATGTTTACTAGCTTTCAGATTTAAGTAGCAACCAAGTGTCATTTTTTACTTTGCTTTCCTTTTTGATTCTGCTAGATTTTTAAAGCATGCTAGATTTCCCACAACACAAAACTCATATTCCAAAATAGTGATAAACAACACCTGGTAGAAAAAACTTTTATACAGTTATACAGCTAAGAGTCTATTTGTAGAACATATGTGCATACATATTTACAAATAAAAAAGCTTTTTGTCATATGGGTTCTGTTTCATTACCAAGAACTCTATCAGAAAATGAAGAGAAATGTAAAATGAAAATTTAATTATGCTTCACCTGACAGAGATTTACAGGACATCAATGGTCTCAAGTCATGCTTGAACATTAATGCCATTTCACACACTACCATATACAAATTATATCATATTTTTCTTTCCTGTCCCTACACAATTCCCAGAGAGCTGTGCTTCAAAATATTTTGAAAAGGTGAGATCTAGACACTCTTTAAGCATTGGCAACCTTTATTTTTTTTTTATATATATATATATAT